CATTTTTTTTCAAATATATTTCCTCGTAAATCAATTTAGATTTAAGTTTTTAATGTAAGGATACCTTCGTTTATTAGGATGAGAATATATCCCAAAAGATTAGATTGGACAATAATCTTAGCTAATAAATAAGCAGCAAATAAATTTATAGGGACGTATTAGAAACTAAACCTTAAATATAAAAACAAATTAAGCTAATTCTTCCAAAAATTAAACCCTTCGGAAGTATGCCAACATATTAATTAGGGCATATACTTCAGGCATGGTAATGAAAACACATTTGTGCTTATAAACCTACAATTATTAGTTATTAGGGATGACAAAGGTATCACAAATTGATTTTCTATTATATCAACATCGATATCCATTCTTATATCTAAGAAAAGATATTCACACTCTATCTATTATTCATTAAATAAAAAATTTAAATATTCACACTCTTATATTGGATTTTCACATGGTTTATTATTTAATATAATATAATAATAATAATAATAAATGTTGTGCGTGTAATATTAATTTGGGTTAGCTTAAAGTTAATCCTTAAGCAAAAAACACGGCTTATTCTAAAATAAAAAATAATTAAAAGCATAGGGAATAAATGTAAAAGAAAAATAAATTGAAGGGGTTATTTTGAAATTTTACAGGAGTTGGGACAAAATTTTAAAAGAAAAGAGAAAAGAAGAAAGAAAAACAATGGTCATTGCCGATAAAATGCTATCAATATTGAAAAACACGTAATGCCACCATGTATACGTGATGTTTTGAAAATTAGTAGGAAAGGGCAACCAAGCCCTTAGTGACTTAAAGAGTAAGTATAATTAAATGAGGGGTATTGTGATAATTGAATAATAGTTGATAAATATAAATAGAAAGCAAATAAAACAAAAGACCAAAAGAGAGAGCTGTGTTTTTTTGAGAGCAAACGTAAGAGAGGGAGAAGGGAGAAGGAAGAAGAAGAAGAGAAAAGGGGGGAAAAGAAGGGAAAGGGAAGAGATTGAGAAGAAATAACTTTAAAGGTAAGATTTAAGTTGTTAAATGTATAAATGTGTTGTTTGAAATTTAAATTTATGTTTTGATAAATATTAGGGTTCTGAAAATTTGTGTTTTGGGTTAATTGATGAATTAATTTGAATGTTATAGGGTTGATTGTTGTGGGTAATTGATTAATTAGTTGATTTTGAGAGATTGTTGGTAAAGATGATGATGTTGAGTTATGTTTTGTGTAAATTGTGATTTTTGAGTTGGAATTCTAGAAAGAACAGTAGGTAATCTGTGAATAATTCTGGGTTTGAGGTTGAAGATGACGAAAATTCAATTTGGTCCCTCAATTTGTGGAAATTACAATTTAGTCCATAAACTTTGAAAAAAATATAATTTGACCCCTAATGGTATTTTGAGATTCTGGACAGTGTTATTATGAGGTTAAGGATGATGAATCTCAGTTTGATAATTGATTTGGAATATTTTCAGTTTGGTCCTTAAATTTAAGAAATTACAGTTTAGTCCCTAAACTTTGGAAAAATTATAATCTGACCCCTAATGGTATTTTGAGATTCTGGACAGTGTTATTATGAGGTTAAGGATGATAAATCTCAGTTTGATAATTGATTTGGAATATTTCCAGTTTGGTCCTTAAATTTAAGAATTTACATTTTAGTCCCTAAACTTTATAAAAATTACTTTTAGGTCCCTAGTTCGTTCTGGACAGAATGAAGGATGGTTTATGGGTGAAATTTCAGTATGGTTATATATTTACAGTTTGGTCCAGTTTTGGTAAAATTACATTTTGGTCCCTATTTGGATAATTATCATTTTAGTCCCTAAACCTAGGAGAGTAAACCTAGTTTTATTTTATGCATTGAGATATTTTGTTTGAGTTGTTTTTGAGTATATGTCATATATTGTTGTAGGTTCTCTTAACGATCCTCAATAGGATTTTCGGGTCTTTCGTCTGACGTTCCTTTAGTTCTATATTTTCCGGGTGAGTGGGATAATCTTTAATATGCATATAATATAAGTAAATATGTATGTTGATTATATGATGAGTACGATTAGTTAATCTCTTGAATATTTATATTTATATATTTTGCTTTGTTTTCCGAGTACTCATCTATTCTTGAAATTTGCACTCGTATTTTATTGAGCTAAATTCTATTTGATATGATATACGTTTCTTTGATGATTCTGTAAATATCTATTATGCCTTGATATAGGACAGACCAGTAACTCCATGCTAACGGAGAGTAGTTAGCCTATGTGCACATAGTATTCTGTATACCTAGCTGATGAGAGAAGCATCAGCCTGTGGCGACTGATCATCCCACAGTGGTCACCTTCGGGTGTCATCTGATCTCTGACATGTATTCCACTATGTTATGATAATATGTTCAGTATTTATATTTATATTTATATGTATATGTATATGTATATCAAGATAAATCATCTGACAAATTATTAATATGAAAATATCTAAAATGTATATTAAATATTATTCCCTCACTGAGTTGGTTGAACTCACCCCTCATTCTTAATATTATTTCAGGTTCTTAGTTTCTGATAGCAGTTGGACTTTGTTGAGTGTTCCTACTTCTTCAGTTTTGGGTCGGTATGCCTTGCTTATTGTTCAAGGTTGTTTTGATTCGATGTCTTAGACGCTCCACTATTACTCTGTTTTAATTAAGTTTGGATTTTGACAATGTAATGAGTATTATGAATTATTATTTTTGTTTTAATTACTGATGAAGAGTTTTGAACTATCATTTGATTTCATCAGTTTTGAGTAATATAATATTTCTCAAGATTATGAAATGCTGCGTATTTTTGAATATCTTGTTCTTTTGATATGTCTATTTTGAGGCTTAGCGTAGATAGGGTGTCCTTTCGACACTGCTCCTGCGTTGCCGATCATGGACCCGGGATTCGGGTCGTGACAGTATAAGACATCAAGATATTCTAAACATTGCTCCTGAAGGCTACTTTTGGTTGCTGAAAGGCTCCACAAGCGTTGCTTACATAGCACGAGACTGTTCACATATCGATGAGTGCAAGTAAGTTTTTTTTAAATAATATTTAATATATGATAATTACAATAACATCATTGAATAACCTCTAAAATTACAACAAAACAAATGTACAATGATAAAAAAAAAAACCTTATGAAAGAGTAATATCTTTTTTATCTGCAAGGTTACTAAAGTAATTGCACTATTCCGAATAAAATGAAAGTACTAAAATACTCCAAAGACAAAGGCATAACTATTTTTTTATTCCAGTGCTAAAATAATAATTTTATTGTGTCGAAATTTTTGAAATGACAAATCTAACCCCCCATAATATGTTAAAAACAATTATATCTTAGCAAAAATATAATATTGTCCTCAATGCCATGTTCAATAGTTTTATTTTGCAAAGGTAATTTTATAATTTTACTATTATAATGAATAATAATATATGTCTTGGGGCACGATAACTTCTTTTTTAGTTTTTTTTCTAACTAGTTTCCTTTGTGCTATGTGGGTTAGATTTAACTAGTTTCTTAACTCATGTCATGTTGTGGCTTAATTTTTTTTAAAAAATTAATGTAAACAAAAAAATATTCAAGTTTCAAGTAACTAATTTGTATTCTTATTAAACCTAATCCAATAAATCAACCTAAAATTCTTTCAATCTTACTTTTTGCTTAGCTTTAATTTAAAATTAATTCATGTGGAAGTTATTTTAACATTATTCATTTGACTTGTTAAGTTTAAAGACAACACAAATAACTAGTAAAAATACATTGTTTGACTTTAAATTTTTTTTGAAGATTATATGTTTTTAGATATTAAGATGACAACATATTAGATTAACTCAAGTTTCATGATTAACCCGCCAAGCCAACAGTATGGATCATGGACTCCACTGAATTTAACAACTTTATTTTTTTATAAAAAAACTATTTTTGTACTTAATGATGGGATAACAAAAATAGATATTTGTAAAATTTAGTACGAACAAAATATCGAGATATTTGTTTAAGACCGCGGTAACTTCATTGAAAAAAAACTAAAATAAATTATGAATATTGATTCAAAATCAACTACATATTGAAGGATGAAATTAAAAAAAAAAAAGCTAAAAAGAATTCAATCAAAAGAGAAAAAAATTGAAAGATGAGATTTTTTAAAGAAAAAGAACTATTCAACATTGTTATTAAATTCAACCTAGTGGATCAACCTTGAAACTTCCTATCTCAACTCCTTGCCTAAACCAAATTTAAAATTAACTTGTATGAAAATTATCTCAACATGATTTAGTTAGTCTTTAAAGAAAAACATGATTTAACTTTAAAAAATAATAATTCAAGATGACTTTTTTTTTTCTAATATTGAAACGACAGCATATTTAATTGATCTAGGTTTTATTACTTAACTTGTCAAATCCGCAATTCGGCATCATGAACTCTATTAAGTTTTTAAAAATTAATAATTTTTTTTTATTTAATTTTATGATAAAAAATAGACGCTTGTAAAATTAAATACCAACCAAATATTAGATTGTTTATTTGGAATTATGATAATTTTATAAAAAATAAATCAAAATAAATTATAATAAATAATTTAAAATTTAAAAAATTATTATTTTTAATTTTTTTTTAATTTGTTGACTTTGAATCGAAATCAACAAATTGTCCAAAAAAAAAGAAATTTAGATAATTATCCAAAATAACAATATTCCAGTCGAATTATCAGAATGCTCCTACCTGTTTCACGTATCAATTGGCGCGTGGGTCCTCGTAGTGGTGGTAGCTAGTGAGAACTTGGGAAGCAAGTTTACAAACTATTTATTTTTGTATTTTAAAAGTTTTTTTTTAAATTATTTTTTTATTTAATATTTTCAAATTGTTTACAGCATATCAAAAATAAATTTTAAAAATAAAATAAACATTATTTTAAATAAAAAAACTTTAAAAATCATCTATTATTATAATTCCAAACACGTTATTTGCCTAGTGAAAAGTGCTTCTAACAGAAGTAATAGAAAGGAACCAACCCCTTTATTCCCTTCAGCTTGCTCTGAAAGGAGTGAGCAGTGACCATTTCTATTTATCAATCAATGGCCCCATTGGTGGACTCTCCATGGACTCTATTGGTCAATAGAGAATGTGATAGCCAATGTAAATAACGGAGGCAGACACGCGCTCACTTTCCTCTGATAGCCATCCACCTCTTCTCCTTGTATAAATCAATCGGCCTCTTCTTCCTTCCTGTCTTAGGAAGACGAGTCAATAGCAATTTCTCATCCGGTGAGTCAAGTTTCACTCTTGAAACGCTTTGGTAGTAGGAGTGTTTTTTTTATTCTAATTTTCATTTGGCTTTTTTGTCTTGGTTAGTCATGGCGAATCCGAGAAGCTCAGTCCAGCTCCAGCTTATGAAACCAGTTGGATTTAGATTTCATCCAACCCATGAAGAATTAATAAGTAATTATTTGGTGCCCAAAACGCGTGGTGATAACGTGAAGGACTTGCTACTCATGGCAGAGGTGATCCTTTGCAAGCATGAACCATGGGATCTACCTGGTAATAAAAATTGACATCTGTATATCTTGTATGTTAATGTCAGAATGTTTTGTTAATGTTGCTTGCACTCATGTCTGCGTAGATAAATCGATTATGAAGTCAGATGATCAAGCGTGGTATTTCTTTTGCCCTCGCGAACTCAAGAATTCGAACAGAAAATTTTCTAACAGAAGAACGAAGGCGGGATTCTGGAAATCAACCTGCCAGGGAAAGCCCATAAAGGCTAAGCATACCAAGAAAGTGATCGGTATAAGAAAGACCTTGGTTTTCCATGAAAAAGCTGGGCCGAAAGCTAAGAGGACTGGGTGGATCATATACGAATATGATATCACCGATTCTAGGCTGTCTAAAGAAGTAAATGCCAACTTTAATCTCCATGGTTGAAGTAACACAGTGTTTGATGGATCATTTGGGAAATTGTGGTCTAAATAGTTGCTTCACTTTTGTGTTTTGACATTTTCAGGGGCAATATGTTCTTTGTAGATTGAAGAAAAACCCAGATGAGAAGACCAAGAAAGGGGAACAAAATCACCACATGACTACAGTCTCAGATAATGATGCTGAACCAAGTCAGAGTGTGGCTTCTAATTCTGAAAGTCAAAATGGAAGTGCGATGACGGTGAATTCAGCTTTTGATGCAAGTGAACTAAGCCACCATGTGGCTACTAATAATTTTGAAACTCGAAACTCAAATGGGCTGATGAATTACTCAGATCCTCAAGTTAGTGAATTAAACCACTACATGGCTTCTGATTTTAGAAATCGGAACTCAAATAAGGTAAAGTCTAATTCAGCTTATGCTGGAAGTGGGTCGCTCCACTCCATGTCTTCTAATTCTAAAACTCTATACTGGAATCAGCCGACAGTTGGTTCAGATTATAAAGGAGGCAAAAGTCACTATAAGGCTTTTGATCCGGAAACTCAAATTTCAAACAACATGATTACCATGCCAATTAATGAGAATTGGTTAATGGCTTATGAGAAATGGTTAATGGCTTCTGATTTTAAAAATCAGGACTCGCCCTCTCAACCTGAAGGTGAATGCGGTCCTTCCGTGGTGATCCCTTCTGTGTTTATAAATCAATCAACTAATGATAGTGAATCCAGAAGCCAAATGGCTTCTGAATTTATAAATCAAAATGCAGACAAGGAAATCGATATACCAGCCTTCGGTGAAAGGAGTTCCCTCACAGAAACTCCTTCGGATTTTTTAAATCAAAATCCTTGTAAGAAGACTGATATGTCAACCTTTGAAGAAGGTTATTCGAGTAACTCGACGACTTCTATTTCAGACAATAATCTAGGTGATGGCGCGCTTCCAGAGGTGAGTTTTAAGTAACATGCCTTGCAGATTATTTTTAATTTTTCTTATGTGTTTTGAGTAGCAAACCGTAGCTTATTCTTACCCTACAAGATACTTCCTGCAGGTAATCCGTGAGAAGTTGGAAATGCTGGAAAAGTTTCTTGAGCTATAGAAAACAGCCTTAACACTGCACTTCAGCTGCCAGTATGCGTGGAATACAGCCACTACATGCGCTTTGATACCTGTGCATCTACTTAAAAATATCAGTTCTCTAGTCCTACACCCCCTTCATTTCCTATTTGCTATTTGAACCAAAAAAAAACCATACCGAACAGTCATAAGGAGTTTATTATTTATGGCTTAAGAGGGCAACTACTAATGCTCCTCTAATCATCCAATTAGGGTGACTTATGTCGCTCTATTTGTTTGGATCCTTGAATGCTTGCTGATCTATATATTCAGCTTGCTTAAATGATGATGTTGCTTAGTTCGGCTTCATGAAGCTGCAATCCTTTAAAACATAGCCTTGCTGTCCAAATCTGCAGCTATATCTACAGAAAGTCTTACTACTATTAGCGGACATTGCAGCTTTGTTCTATGATCCTGATGCGATTGTTGTCCCTCAGTCCTAAAGACATTATACTTGCAAGTAGTGTGCAAGTTCTATATCTGTACATTTACTTTCTTATTATTCTTATGTGTTTCTGGGTGTGTGAAGGTGAAATCGTATCTAGAGCAAACATCTCTTGTGGATTTTGTATGTATCAGTGTGTTTCAAAGACGTTGAGCAAAACTTATGTTTAATGGATATGTTCTAGCTCTCTTTTCTTATCTTTGTTGAATGTTGGATTGCTAATGTAAAGTGAATGCAGATTGGCACTAGAGTGTGGTGATTATGTTACTGAAGGTTTAGAATGACGTTAATGTGCTGATCAACATTGGATAGATGTGATGCAACTTTCTGTCCTGGTGAATGGCGATGATCCTATTAAGATTGATTGGTAAATGCTAACTGGTTAGATGTACTAGTAGCGTAACAGAAGGGATTGAAAGCCTCTTGCTGACATGTTACTGATTCAAATTTGCATCTCAGAAGCCAGTGGCAGTGTGTGTTTTCCCGTATCAAACTATGTAGCCTGTCATTAATCTTAAAACAAGACCAATTTCCTGTATCATTGAAATCCAGCATCATGCACAACATCCAGGACAGAAGTACTAAAGCACGGGAAATATCCAACCCTGAGAGCGAGTGATCGTATGAAAGAGATGGCAGCGATGTAAGCATTTAGCAGAAGAACCAGGGAACAAGCAAGGAGAACAGGAGCTCTGCTGTGTCATTTTAAGCGATCAAATTAAACTTGTAGTCAGATGACTAAGATGTGAAAATGAAGGGACCGATGGAAACCAAAAAATGGTTCAGGGGGGCGAAAGTGGTGGGATCGGACAGAAGAACTTCGGAAACAAGTTTGAAAACAAATCTCTAATAGCATATCAAATTCCCAACATGCATACGACTGATATCCATTCTGTATGATAACTTATGGTTTCCACTTTCCAAGGCTCAAGCTTTAGTACTCTTTCCGTGCACACATAATTTAAGGACTAAAATGAAAATGAGTGAGAAATCACATTATACCATCACAACCATGTAGAAGAATACAGTAAAATTAAATAATTTGTACAGCACAAAGTATCCTGTAGTCTTCGTAGAGCATCAAAGATGTCTACGAGTGAGCTAGTGAACATTCCAGATTATTGTAGAAGAGGGGCAGTGGCTGGTGGTAAAAGCTTGAGTGCCAAACCTGCCCTGTGGAAAATGCTGTTCATAAAGTGTAAAGAGAAAACGCGTTTCCAGTAGAAAACTACAAATGTGGAACTTCGGAGTCCAGTGCCTTCAACTTCTTCTCGACAAAGTAGTGAGTACACAGGGAATGGACATTTTCTATCAATCAATGGCCCACCACTAGGGGCGGAGTCAAAATATTTTATACGAGGAGATAAATTATTAATAAATAATATATTATATAAATATTTATTAAAAAAATTCATAAAATATATATTAATTTATATCAAATAAAATTAATTTAAAAATTCATATCAATTTATCAAAATCAAAATCTATTTCAACTCATATATATATATATATAAACACTCCAAGTATATTGTAGATATTTAATTAAGGAACAATGCTTAGTGTATATATAAGATGAACAATGATTGAAAAATATTTTTATTTAATATTTTATTTACAAATAAATTATATAAAAATATTAAATTTTAATAAACTATTGTCAATGTAAGAGATGCCAAAAATAATGGTTTTGCATGAATATTAATTTATTTTTTTATAATAAAAAATACTTAATGGATTAAATTAATAAATTTAAATATTTATTTTAAACATATTTATATAAAATTTTTTAAATTATCATAAATTCTAATATTTTTAATAACTAATTATAAAAAAATTAAAATTAAAATAAAAAAATAAATTTTTTTTACCTAAAACATAAAGCAAAAAACAAGAAAAATTAATTGATGAGTTAAGCAAGAGACAGGAACGGCAAGTGAACAATATTTGATAGGCGAAGATAAAGAAAGAAAAGGAAAAAATGGGGAAAATTAGGGCAATGATGTGTGCATATGTATTTATTAACATATGAGTTTAATATATTAATGTAAAAATATATTAAAAAAAATAATTAAGGGGGCCGCCACTGCACATCACTACATTGGTGGACTCACCATTGGTTCTATTGGTCAATTACTTATAAGAAGAGAATCTCTAGCACTTGGTGTAAATATTTTATCTTAAAAGCATGCTCACACTGTCCATCCACTCCCCTCTCTCGTTTCCAACTTCCCACTGAAGCGAGCACTTCTCCATTCTTTCAAGACCAGATTCCTGTTTTAGGAAGAGTAATGAATTCCGATTTCTCATCAGGTCAGTCAAATTCACCCTTTCAACACTAGTCATCTTCATCTCCAACGTAGTACACTACTTGGTTTTGTTTATTATTTCTAATCGATCGGTTATGGTTATGGTAGTCATGGCGAATCCAATAAGCTTAATGCAATTAATGAAAGCTGGATTTAAATTCCAACCATCCCCTGAAGAATTAATAATCAATTATTTGGTGCCGAAATCACGTGGTGGTATTGTGGAAGGCGTGCCCATGGCAGAGATTAACCTCTGCGAGCATGAACCATGGGATCTACCTAGTAATAACACACGACTATAGTGTTTTCCCTCTCTCTCTCTCTCTCTATATATATATATATACATATATCTGTCAGGATATTTTGTTGATCAAGATGGCTGGATTTATTCCTTGCAGATAAATCGATTATAAATTTAGCTGATCAAGAGTGGTATTTCTTTTGCCCTCGCGATCTTAAGTACGAGAAGAAGAGCAGACTTTGTAATAGAAAAACAAAGGCCGGATACTGGAAGTCGACCTGCAAGATAAAGCCAATCATGGCCGGGCATACTAAGAAAAACATTGGTGTCATGAAGACTTTGGCTTTCTATAAAACAGCTCGGCCGAAAGATGTAAGGACTGGCTGGATGATATACGAATTTGACATCGTCACCAATTCTAGCCTCTCTAAAAAGGTAAATTCATGGTTGAAGTAACACTGTGTTCGATGGATGAGTTGGGAAATTGCGATCTAAAGAACCCGTTCACTTTCTTGTTTTGACATTTGCAGGGTCAATATGTTCTCTGTAGATTGGAGAATAGATCAGATGAGAGGATCAAGAAAGGTGAACAAAATCACCTTATGGCTTCAGTCTCTGTTTCTGAAGCTGTACCAGGTCAGAGTATGACTTCTGATTTTGAAAATCAAAACTCAAGTGAGATTGTTGTGAGTTTAGCTTCTGATGATAGTGAATTAAGCCACCATGCGGGCTCTGATTCTGGAAACCAAAACTCAAGAGAGCTGACCCCAACTCGCCAAGTTAGTGAATTAAGCCACTACATAGCTTCTGATTTTAAAAATCAGAACTCATGTCAGTCAGGGTCTAATTTAGCTTACGATGGAACTGGTTCGTGCCACTCCACGGCTTTTAACTCTGAAACTCAATACCGGAATCAGCCAACAGTTGGTTCAGTTTGTATTGTCAACAAAAACCATTATATGGCTTTTGATTTGGAAAATCAAAACCCAAATGAACTGCTGACAGTTGATTCAGTTTATACTGTCAGCAAAAACCATTATATGGCCCCGAATGAGCTGCCGACAGTTGATTCAGCTTATACTGTCAGCAAAAACCGTTACAACCCAAATGAACCGCTGACAGCTGATTCAGTTTATACTGTCAGCAAAAACCATTATATGGCCCCGAATGAGCTGCCGACAGTTGATTCAGCTTATACTGTCAGCAACAACCATTATATGGCTTTTGATTCGTATCAAAACCCAAATGAGCTGCTGACAGCTGATTCAGCTTATATTGTCGACAAAAACCATTATATGGCTTTTGATTCGGAGTATCAGAAGCCCAATGAGCTGCTGACAGCTGATTCAGTCTATGTCAGTGAAAGTCAGTACATGCCTTTTAAAAGCCCAATGAGCTGCTGACAGCTGATTTAGTCTATGATGTCAGTGAAAGTCAGTACATGCCTTTTGATTTAGAAAATCAAAATTTGAACAATATAAATTCTATATCAACTTATGAGAACTCGTTAATGGCTTCTCATGGTTTTGAAAATAAAAATCCACCCTTTCCACCTGAAGGTGAATGTGGTACTTCCGTGGTGATGCCTTTTAAATTTATAAACCAATCAACCTATAATGAAAGCGAACTAAGTAGCCTTTTGGCTTCTGATTTTGGAAACCAAAATCTAGACAAGGAAATTAATTTATCAGCCTTCGATGAAGGTGAATGGAGTTCTCTCACAGCAATACCTTCGGATTTTGGAAATCAAAATCCTTCTAAGAAGGCTGATATATCAACCCATGAAGAAGGTTTCTCGAGTTACTTGATGGTCCCTTTTTCAGAAAATAACCTAGCTGATGTCTCGCTTCCAGATGTAAGAATTAAGTAACATGCATTACAGATTCTTTTTGGTTTTTCTTATGTGATTTGAGTAACAAACCCACGGTTTATTCTTACTTTACATGATACTTTCAACAGGTAAGCCCTGAACTTCTACCAGAGGCGCTGGAAGCAATTTTTGAGCCCCAAAAAAGCCCCAACACAGTACTTCAGCCGCCTGAGTGCGTGGAGGCAAGCCACTCCTACATGGACTATGATACCTCCACGTCTACTTGAACATATCTGTTCTGTGGACCTAT